TGTCGGTCCTGATCGGACCGTGTTGCCCCTAATCGGACCGTGTCGGTCCTGATCGGACCGTCAGAGCTCAACACACAACTCACTTCATTTGGACTGAAAATATTTTTGAGACGTTTAAAGAGAAAGAACTTTTGTGGTTGAAAAAGTGTGGAATCATTTCGATGTAATCAGATTACATATATTTAGATTACATTACTGCGGTGTTTTGTCCTCAGTACCTGAGCGGGTTCACATCAGCGTGTCGTCTCCCCAGAGCTGCTCAGGCTGCACGTTGTTGGACTTTGAAGCTGACATCAGACACCAGCAGCTGACTGAATCCAGAACCATCGGAGCGGACTCACGTTGATCTGATGCCTCGGTCCGGATGAACCTCCAGAACCACTGAGCGTCACAACTAGAGCCTTTCTGACCCACACCCCACGTTCCTCAGGCGAGCTTTACCTGCTGAGGAGCTCCACAAGTCCTCCGGCTCCTCTGAGCTCCTCCTGCTGCTCCGCTCCGGGTCGCTCGGTTCTGAGCAGCGAGCAGCCGGGGGGGGGGTGGTGGTGCTTCAGGCTGGTTGCCTTGGAGACCAGGAATGCATCAGACTGGAGTTAGTGCAGGAGAACAGCACCCCCGTGTGGAGGAAACAGGCAGCTCCATTTTATTCAACAAGACACATCAACAGTTCCAGTCGGTACAAAAGCACACATCACATGTTTTCTACCAAATTATCACAAAATATAAAGTCAGACGGAATAAATAAAACACAGAACAACGTGTCAGCATGTAGGAACAAGTGATAACGTATACATAAATATATCTATCTGACAGCAGCAGGTCTGGTCCTCGTCAGACGGAGGTGAAGAATCCACAGGAAGTCTTGTCCCCTCATTGACTCTGAACTCTGAGTTTGAAACCTGCAGAAAAACCGTTTCATGAAGTTCTAACGTTCTCCACAACGTCCGCTAACGTGTGATTGTCACATCAAACATGATTACAATATAAAGTCTAAATAGCTCAAACACGACTGTGACCAAACTTTAGAAGTGAAATATTTCACTTTAACAGCCTCTCCTGGACAGAACTCGAACAGAACTCAGACTTCAGGTCCGATGGAACCTGGCAGCTTTCTCCGGTCTGTTCTTCAGATGAACTCCTATATTTCCTGTCGCCTCTACAGCGTGAGCTCCTCCAGGTCTTCGTCGAAGGAGGCCACGGCTCTGACGGCCGGCCGGGTCTGGGTCACCTGCAGGACGGAGGGCGGAGCTTCTCGTCTGGGTCGCAGCCCGTTGGACGGAGGACTGACGACGCTTCTGCTGTCGGCAGACGTCTGGAGGCCGAACAGCTGCTGCATCAGGCTGGACTTCTTGTCCTTTGCAGCTCCTCCGTCGGATCCGTCGCCCCCGAGGACGAACCCTGCTGCAGAGTCTCCGTCCTCTCGGGGAGGTGGAGGGAAGCCGGAGGAGGTTCTGGATGACGAGAGTCCAAACGAAGGAGCGTAGCCTCCGAACGCCAGGTCTTCGCTGGAGCTCTGAGACCTGGACGTTCTCCTCCTCCCTCTCAGCCCGGCTGGCTGCTGGGATTCCGTCAGGCTGAAGATCTGACGGTTCTGCTCAGGAGGACGAGGACTCGGATGTTCCTTTAGAAGTTCCTCAAACGTAACGCTCTCAGCTCCACGGTTCTGGTCGTCTATCTCCCTCATCTTGGCCAGCAGCTGCTCCTTTTTACGGCGAGCCTCCTCTGCTGCCTGCTGATTGGCCAGCGCCCCCTGGTTCCACCTGTCCACCTCCTCCTGGACGTGGCCCCGCCTCCTGGAGGAGTCCTCGTCCTTCTGGGTCAACAGGACGTTCAGCCCGTCTCCATCTGTCTCCAAGCCTGAGGACACATAAAGTCTGATCACAAGACATTCTGTGGCTGCAGCAGGTGTGAACTCACCTGAGTGACAGAACCTGGTCCAGGTGGGTTCCAGCAGACGGACTGTGGTTCTGTTTCCTCTGTGAGTCCAATAAAATCACAGCTTTGCCTTTAAACTACATATGTGTGTGTAGAGGAGGATAGAAGACGAGCAGAGACGCTGAGAACTTTAGTTGTTCTCATGTTCTCCACTTCTTCATTCCCTTTATCACTGATGTTCTGTTTATTTGGACTTCAACAAGAAAGTTCTGACTCGTATTGCCTCTACTTTTGGTCTCTTTACCGTCTCTTGGTGTCTTGGTCTCATCCTGCTGCTGGTTCTGCTGCTGGTTCTGCTGCTGGTTCACCTCTTGGGCTGTTTGGTTCCTCTTTGTTTCTCCACAGTTCTGAGTTCTGTGTTCTGGTTCTGCTGGTTTGTTGTGGATGTCCAGCTCCTGCAGACACAAACAGGTGAACATGAGACAGAGAGGATGAGGACGAGCCGTGACTCAGAGCCTCACCTTCAGCGTCAGGTATTGGTCCACATCTGGAGGAGGTGAAGGGAAGTCGGAGCTGGAGACGCCGTCCTCCGTCTGCACGGCTTTGCTGCTGCTGCTGGAGGCTGCAGGACACCAGAAGACCTGTTAGCCACCAGAGCAGAACATCTGGAAACATCTTTAGCTGACAGAGAGAAGCTCTCGTTACTACAGAATGAAACCAGAACCATCAGTACTTTTCCTCTTTGAGCTGCTGTCGGCTTCTCTCCTCCCGGAGGGTTTCACCATCCTGTTGGCGTAGATGTTCATCGTGTCCAGCTCCTTCTCCTTCTCCTGGAACACACACATGGTTTCACAGAATCACTCATTTATCTTCACTGTGTTTCTATTAAACACCTTCAGTTAATATATTATTCAGAACCGGACTAATGTTCTCCATGACCCTCTGCATATGTGTATATATGAAACACCTTTAGATCATGTCTTAGTTTCTATCCAACACCTTCAGTTTGCTGCTGAGTCTCTGCAGCTCCTCCTGCAGACTCCTGATCTCCTCCTGTAGGTTCAGGTTCTTCTTCTTCTCTGCAACCAGCTGCCTCTGGAAGCTGCTGCTGCTCAGCTCCGCGCTGCGCTCCAACTCCTGCATCAATACAGACGATCAGCTATTGATGATCAGTTATGGATCTGTTACAGAGGACCAGTTATAGAAGCTGCTGGGAGGGATGAGCTCTGTCTGTTCTGAGCCACTGCTTCTCTTCAGTTATTGATTAATCGACACATTTCATGCAGGGGAACGTTCTCCTGACCTTGATCCGGCGTTCTGCCTCCTGGACTTGGACCTTCTCCTCCTCCAGCCTCCTGCTCAGCTCGTCTCTGGGTCCCAGCTCTCTCTGCTCCACCAGCTTCTTCAGCCGGCGGACGGTCACGTGACTCCTCTGCAGCTGCTCCTCGCTGTCCTTCAGCCGCCGCTCGGCCAGTCGCTCGCGCTCCTGCGTCCGTCGCAGTCGCTCTCGCAGCACCTGAGTCTCGTTGGAGTGGCGCGCCAGCAGCTGGGAGATCTCGCTCTCGGTGTCGTCGTATCGCTGCAGCGCTTTTTCCTGACGCACCTGAAGCTGCAGGAAACAGAGAGGAGCTTCAGACGGCTCTGGTTCTGCTGCTTGGTTCCTTCTTTATTTCAGTTTGTTATAAAGCTGCTTTTTGTTTAAGTTCAAGTTAAAGTTAACCAACATTAGTTTTCTCTCTTCACCAAGAACAGCATGGAATTAAACTTTATTGTCCACCAAGGTGGAAAATTGTCTTCAGCTCAGCACCACAGCAGATCAGCCTGACATCATCACTTCCTCAGCAGACCTGCTTCTCTCTCAGGTTAATGAAGTTACCTGGCTGTGGTTGACCAATCAGAGCAGCTGCAGTGATTTGTCCTTTTTCACTATAAACCAGCAGCAAAGTCCTCTGACCCCTGATGCAGTTTATCCACAGATACCTGAGCTGAGCAGTTCGGACCAGCTCACCTGCCTGAGGATCCGATTTTCCTTCTGCAGCTCGTCGGTTCGCTGCTGCAGTTCAGCCAAAGCGTTTCGCAGCTCGTTGATCTTCAGCAGTCGAGCCGACAGCATCCGTTTGGTCACCAGGTCCAGGTCTTTAGGAGGCGTAGACTCTTTGCTGTGTGACCGCTGAACCCGGCGGTGCTGCTGGGTCAGAGGCTGGGTGGGCCGCTGGGGGCGGAGCCTGCCGCGACGCCCCACAACACCTGATGGGCGGAGACATTGTTCAGAACCAGACAAAACTTTATTAAACTGTTAGTCGCACACATTTAAACCTGCTGTAGGATGGAAACATAACTCTAAACAGGTACTTTATTCATCTCTGTGGAGAACGTCACACAAATGAAAACGGTGCCGACAAAGTAAGAAAACGTATAAATGACTCGTCCTGATGCCGCACATGTGACACTAAGAACCAGGAAGTGTTGTTCTGCCTCACCTGGACTCTCAGGTAAATCTAGCCTGTGAGGTTTCCCTCCTGCTGCATCACTTCCTGTCTCACCTGTGCGGTGCAGCGGGCTGCTGGAGACCCTCGGGGTTCTCTGGGTTCTGTGTGGAGTCGGTGACGGAGTTCTGGACCGAGAGTACGGAGAGAAGGAACGTTCTGACGGAGACTCGTTCTCGTAATCCTCAGAGTAAAAGGAAGCGCTGCTCCTCCGTCCGTCTGACACCTGGTCCTGGTCCTGGTCCCGGTCAGAGTGCCAGGTTCTGGTTCTGGATCTGGCTTCTTTTTCATCGTCGCTGTGGCGCCTCTCCTCAAGGTTCTTGTGGTGTTTCTGCAGAGATGAACAGCTGGACTCTTTCTTTCTGCTCTGCACCGACTTATGGTTCTGGTTGTCTTCGTTCGGATCAGCTACGTTATCAGATTCCATCTTGTCACTTTCAGAACTTGTTCTGAGTTAAAAATAAATGAACAGAACCAGGTCAGACATACAACCGTTTGTTTAAATTTCACATTCAAGGTTTTCATTTCTAGCTTCTGTTAAACTCAAAGTCGACATCAGCGTTTCAGAACCGACAGGTGGATCCGATCCCCACGTTAGGATCCGGTCCAGCTGGTTCCTCTCAGACAGACTGGTGATCTTCAGGTCATTCAGTCACCTGAACCTGTCATCAGCTTCAACCAGTGGCTTCATGGACACGTTTCTATGGCAACACAAGCTCACAGAGCTTCATTTACATCGAGGGTCATTTTCTGGATCAATAATCAGCTGTTTGGTCTCTACAAGGTCTGAAAACAGTGAAAAATGTGGATCAGAGTTTCCTCAAATGTCTGGTTCAGTCCAGAGACGTTCAGTTTAGTGTCACAGAGGAAAGGAACCAGAACACATTCACTGGAGGAGCTGAAACCACAGAACTTCTAAAAGTCCCTGATGATCAGAATGGCTGATGGATGCTGAGCCCATAGGAACCTGTCTCAGAGCTCCTACAGGTGTAGGTGTGCTCCTGTGTGTCTCCACCAGTCAGCGTCTGAACACTGGACTCACCTGGAGACGCACATTTGGTAGAAAAATCACACATTTTCTCTCAACCTTACAGTCTCGTGTTTGTCCTGATGAACACGACACCGATGTGGATGAAAAGCTGCTCCGGTCTCAGAACAAAACTCACCTCAGAGTCACTTCATCAGATCTGCATCCTCAGTCCAGTGAAGGATTAAAGAGGCCGCGTGTGGGTGACAGCTGGACTGTTGTTGTCATGTTGTTGTCATGTTGTTGTCATGTGGTACCTGGACATAAACACACACCTGCTGAACCGTAGCTCCTCTGGGTGTCACAAACATGAAACAGGTGAAAACTGTGTCAAATGAATCAGCTCGTGACATTAGCTCAGTGTCCTGGAAGCTAACGTCAGCTAATGCTAACACGGCAGATAAAGCTGATACCAACAGGTGAGCTCCGAGTCACTGTTACCGGTCGACACTCACCTGTTCACCTAAAACACAGTTCTGATGTAGTTCGGTTCCACTTCGCAGCTTCTGCTTCAGACTGTTCGGCTACTGTTAGCCTCAGCGGCTAGCAGCAGCTAGCAGGAACTTTAGCTAAGTTAGCCGCCGTTAGCTGTCAGTAGCTAGCAGCGCTGTTCAGCCTTTACGGAGATAAAGAGGCCGGAGTTGAACAAAGACTTCAGATCCAGAATCAAACAGCAGAGTTCCGGTAAACAGAACCGCTCCGCTTCTTTCTGTCTGACCACACCGGGAAGCTAACAGCAAGTTAGCCGCTAACAGAAGGTTCGCTGCTGACGCCGCTCCATGGCAACCGCAGCCCGGCCTGCAGTACCGCCCGCAGCCGGAGGGGCGCTGCCGGACCAGTGGTCATACAGTTTATTATTATATTATTATTATTATTATTATTATTATTATTATGTGTAGGCAAATGCAAACAAGACATTACATTGTTTACAAACAACAACAACAACAGCAGCATCTTTTCTTATTCTGTGTGACATCACAGTTCTGACATTTGAAGATATTTGGGTCCAGACCTGCATCAGAACACAGATGAGCAGCGATCAGATTGTGTTCTTGGTGTTTCAGGACTTGAATGAATAATTAGAAATGATCATAAATAATGTAAAATAGAAAGAATCTCGTTATCATCTGATGTTTGCTGCTCAGAGTCAAACTGGACAGAAAACAGCCACACGGAGGAAGTTTGGCTCTTTTCAAAATAAAAAGCTAAAATACGCGCTTATGGAAAAACGTGTCTACTTTTCGTTATTTTATATTTTGTTTTATTGATTCTACTGTAAAACTTAATAATACCATAAACGTTTATTTGTTCCGCTCTTATTATAGCCGGTGTTACGAAGAGCTTCACAACATCTGAACTTTGGATAAATCAGCTTCATGTTGAGGTCACATCATCATTTTTACATGACTGGATTTTTATCACTCCATAAATTAGAAAACACCGTGAATAGCCTGAAAAAAACAAACAAAGAATTTCTGCACGTTTTTCAGAATAAAATGTTTAAATCAAGCTGTGAATGAAACATGAACAAACCCCTTCACAGTGTAGACAGGAGTAAAAGTGGAGCGTGAGTCAGAGAATAAAAGTCATTTAAAGATGGGTTTGGTACAGTTTCCTTCTCATGTTTACTGGAAAGCACTATTTTAATAAACAGATATGTGACTGCTTATAACTTGTGTTTCAAGTCGTCTGAAATATAAAAAGGGCTCATGAGTCATGGATGTTATTTACTGCAGACAAACATCTTGAACCTTCTCACAGCCCGCTGACACGCTGGAGCTTTTATGTCAGTGCGTGGTCCGACTCTTATTGTGAAGGAGCAGGCGGATGTGCAGGCTGCAGTGCTGTCATTTGTTCTCTGCTGGACTTGGAGAGTTTCAGATCTTCAGCCTGCAGCAGCTTCATCATGACGCGCTTCAAACGCTGTGCAGTGTGAGGATCGATCAGCTTCATCGATCTTCTGTCGGAGGAACGAACAGCGTCACTGGCAGTTATTGATCCGGGATTAAAGATGGTGATCCGGGTTTATGTGGCCTCCTCCAGCGGCTCTGTGGCGGTGAGTGTCTCACCTGTAGACCTGAAGCGGTCACAGGGAGAGGAACACGTTCTTCACACGTTCTTCAGAGGTTCTTCAGAGGTTCCTCTTTAGAACCACCTGAGCTGAATAAACAGCTGATCAGCGGTGGACAAAATAACAGGAACAGCTTCCAAATGACTGTTTAATCCACTTTGTCTCTAAATGAAGACTGAATGTAGTTCAGAGGATCAGATTAATGCTTCACGTTTTAATATGAGAGAAGATTCAAACCGGAAATTAAAAAAATATAAAAAACATAAAATAAAAACAAAAATGGCAGCAAAGGAGTTGAAAATAAAAAACGTTGAATTCTGTGGAAGCAACTTTAAATATCAGTAAAACATTAAAATACAAGAAATACATGAAAAATACAGTGATTTACAGTTTTGACCTGTTTGTTGTTGTTGTTGTTGTTGTTGTTTGTACAGTCAACAGTCATGTTTATCTGTTTGTGCAGCTGCAGGTTTTCTCTGATGTTTGATGCAGCTCTGATTTGTTGCTGCTCTTTTCCACGTTTGTAAAGATGGACGTAGAATCGCTGATACGTCACAGAACAAAGATGTGATTTTACATGCAGTGAAACTGTGGATGTGAATCTTTCAGCCTTTGTTGTGACAAAAAGACAAAGAGGATTAATGTGAGGATTATCTTCTGGATGAATCGATTCTTTGTTTTGTCTCTGAAGCGGTGAACGTGGATCAGAGCTTCGTCCTGTGAGTCCAGAGGTTCAGTTTAGTGTCACAGAGGAAAGAAACCAGAAAACATTCACCGAAGAAACTGAGATCACAGAATTTAGACGGTTTTTATTTTTAAAAATGACTGAAACTGATCAATTATTAGAAAAGTTGAAGATGAGTTTAATATTTAACAGCTAATAAATGGATCTCTGCAGCTTTGTTGTTTTTGAACATTTCAGATTAAATTCTGATCAAATGTTGGTTTCAGCTGCAGAAACGTTTCCAGAGTTTAGTGACGCGACACTCAAGTAAAAAATGAAGTTGATGAAGCTGCAGACATTTAAAACACACGAGTTTCACCAGATCAGAGAGTTTCATTCTGTGGCTGAGAAGAGAATCAGGAGGACGCAACTGTTTTCACTGAAGTCTCTGAATGAAATAAAGTGACAGATGAAGCAGCAATGAGCCAGTTTCACAGATTAGTGGAGCAGAAATGATGAGCTCTGATGTAAACGAGCGTCTGTGCAGCGAGCACATGTATGTCCTGGTTCCTGGCAGGAATGTGGGTCAGAACAGCGCCGTCCCGCTTCTGTGGAGTCTCACAGGAAGACCAGGAGAAGAACCCAACGCCACCTGACGTGTTGGTGAACTGTAGAAGTGCGTCGGTGTGTCGGACAGAAACATGTTTATAGCAGAACAGTCCCATCAGAACCAGAACATGAACACTGTGCTCACCAGTACAAGCAGAATCCCCCAACAGGAGCTAAACGGGTCTGAAGCAGCACGACGACTCAAACTGTGTAAAATACTCAAACCGTCTGACATCAGTCAACAAGCATGTGACAGGAAACGGTGTCAGAACGACTGAAGGACCTCGAATATGTTTCAAAACCGTCCTAAAGGACTCGACATGGACGGACTCAGATGTTCTGACAGAACCAGAACACTTTGGTCCTCAGAGTCTGATAATCTGATCCAGCAGTCGGATGGAACCAGACAGACACCGACTGACTGATGCTCTCAAACAGAACCTTGTTCAGCGCACGTCTAAACGTTCTCTTAACGTTCTCTTAACGTTCTCTTAACGTTCTGTCTCATTTAACTTGGACTGGATCCCAGAAACCAGCTTGAGCTGCAGTTTGTCTTCAGCCGGACGGTTTGTTCTGTCTTCTGCCTTCAGGAGGCCCATTCAGGAACAGACACAGATTCTGCGTCAACACAACAACAACAACAACA